TGTGTGTGTGTGTGTGTGTGTGTGTGTTGGGATTACACATATAAACTCATTATAGCGGAGGACACAGAGACGATTCCAAACTGCTGCTCACTTCCTGTAATCAGAGCCTCTCCTGCCCTGCACTTCCTGTGCCTGTGGAGCGGAGACCTGTGATTGGCTGGAGCTCAGTGTCTGATTTCCCCCTGTCAGAAAATGTGGAGCACATCACGAGCTGAAACACAGAGATCCCTGCCAAAACAGTCCACATTGTAAATAGTTATGAATCATTGATAAGAGTCCCGGCTGGGTGAATGGGTGTTTCTGTGTGGAGTTTGCATGTTCTCCCCGTGTTGGTGTGGGTTTCCTCCGGGTGCTCCGGTTTCCCCCACAGTCCAAACACATGCGCTATAGGGGAACTGATCAGCTACACTGGCCGCAGTGTGTGAGTGTGAATGTGTGTATGGGTGTTTCCCAGTACTGGGTTGCAGCTGGAAGGGTATCCGCTGTGTAAAACATTTGCTGGAATAGTTGGCGGTTCATTCCGCTGTGGTGAACCCTGATGAACAAAGGGACTGAGCTGAAGGAGAATGAATGAGTGAAATCATTGATTTGACACACAGACGAGTGTTAGTGAGAGCAGCTGCTCAGACAGAGGATCTGCTGATAATCTCCTGCGTCTGATGCTGGTCTGTCCTCACGCTGCTCCTATTTCTTCAGCTGTGTGTTACAGATGATCTGAGATCAGTGCAGACGGCTGGTGGTCCAGCAGGGTTACAGTGGGTGAAGAATGTGTGCTGTGCAAACAAACACACACACACACACATGCAGACAGCCAGCCGGTGCTCTCTCTCTCTCTCTCACACACACACACACACACACACACACACAGAGATACATTTGGGGTGTCCCTGATTGGGGACAGGGGGCAAATTTGCACTGATGAAAATACACATGGTGACACGGTGGCACAGCAAGAAGGTCGCTGGTTCGAGCCTCGGCTGAGTCAGTTGGTGTTTCTGTGTGGAGTTTGCATGTTCTCCTCGTGTTGGTGTGGGTTTCCTCCGGGTGCTCCGGTTTCCCCCACAGTCCAAACACATGCACTATAGGGGAACTGATCAACTACACTGGTCATAGTGTATGAGTGTGTATGGGTGTTTCCCAGTACTGGGTTGCAGCTGGAAGGGCATCTGCTGTGTAAAACATATGCATAGTGGTTCCTTCTGCTGTGGCGACCCCTGATGAATAAAGGGACTAAGAATGAATGAATAATTTATAATTATAGGTATTTATTGGGTAGCTCATTGTTTAAAACCACCCCTGCTCACACACACACACACACACACACACACACACACACACACACACACACACACACACACACACACACACACACAAAGCTATCTTTACGAACTCTCCTCATATCTGTAGTGATGTTTGTACTGTACAGATTCTCTCATCTCCCCCTAAAATTAACCCTCCCAGCAAACTGTCTGCACTTTTACATCTTCACACTCCCTTACTCTGCCTGATATGAGCATGTTCACTCATGCAGACCAAAGAAATGTCCCAATGAGGTCTTAATTTACTGGTATTGCTATACTTGTGGGGACATTTGGTCCCCACTGCGTTAGGAAAACAAGGTACACACACACACACCACTGAAGCCCGCACAAACCAACACAATCAGAACAATGACGGGACCGCGCGTGGACAGCACGTGCGCGCGCACAGCCGCGAACCCGCGTGAGCACCGGCCCGTTTCCACGGAGACGGAGAGAGAGAGAATAGAGAGCGAGAGAAGTGTGTGTGCGCTCGTGCTCGGTTTAACGGAAACCTCTCTGTATGTTCGGAATCACCGACTGTCCCTCAGATCATCCGGTTGAAGAGCGCGCGAACGTGAGTAGCTTTTGTTCTCCACTTTTACCTCAGATTTCACGCCGACCTCCGTTTCTCCGCTCGGGTTAAACAAACACTGAATAACCGATCTCTCAGGGAGTTTCTGAATGAGTCTCCCGTTTTTTATCGTCGGCTTGTCCATAACGGAAAGTCGTGGCAGGAGGACCGACGAGTTCCTTCAGTTCTCTGAGGCTCTACTAAAGTCGATTTTCTTTGTTTAACGCGATATAACTGGACTTTAGGAGCTGTTTTCGGTGATTGAAGTGGGTTTGTGCTTCGAGTAGAAGTGTTTAATGTCTTTATTGTCTTGAGGAGAATCGCTTTCAGGTTTACTCATTCATACAGCAGAGCTCCCGTTACACAAACAAACCACTCCATCTGATCCAGAAACACTCGTTTACCGACACTAATGGACTGTGGGATAATATAAATGAAAGTCTAGTGCTGGAGTATCGCATTTTGTACGTGTTTATCAACAGGACATCGCCAGGTATCGCATGGATTCAATGCTAAATCAATGTTTAGTGTTGGGATATTAGCATATTATTTAATATCATGATCCAGTTAGACCCGGAGTTTGTTTTATGATTCTCAAGTAATATAAAACATTTCACATTAAACATTCTGACAGAATGAATCATTTAGAGTATTTGAGGTAAAGTTGGTTTTATATTCGCACATTCATTCAGTAACTTGTGACACGCTCCCTATATTGTTTACCATGGTATTTACATTTAGT